AAATGGCTGCCATATACACGTCCACTGATAGGAGACGCGGAAGGTATTAAACTGATCAGAACAATACTAAACACACCACAAATAAGGTTTCTCTCCTGTATGGCTCCTCAAATGATGCTTAAGATTGAAGCGGCTGAAAAGCATTTCTCACACTCCGAACAAAAATATATTTTTTTAACATTCTCTCCACTTTGAACGAAATGACGTTTGGGAAGAGATTAACATAATTAAATACAGGCAGTAAAAATACAGTTTTTAGCCATACACTGTAACTTTAAAACTACACATCCCATCTTCATAACAATTACATATTTGGAATCAGCACACTTGAAACATAAACATAACCAAAAATCAGCCAAATCCATCCAGGGGTTAAAAAGTTAGCTGGAGGTCCCTTTATGACCGACCGCAAGCACATTTTCCTGCCCAAAACAGTTCCATAGTTTTGGGCTGTGAGGTCGGTCTATTTCAGGCTGAAAAAACGACTAAGTCCCATCGCCGAATGGGACTTAGTCTCTGCAACTGAAATAAGGCTGAAAAGGAAATGACTTAAAAAGACTAAGTCCCATGCATTTGAATACTGGGACTTAGTCTCTCCCAACTTGAAATAATTTTCCCATTTACTGGAGCCAAGTGGGAAATAGCAAGAGAGCCAGGCACAAAGGGTTTGCACCAGGTCTGGGGACACAGGGGACACCTTGCCGTCCCAAGGGGCGTGTCCCCAGTCTGAGGACAAGCCTTAAAGGGGCAGTGTCCCAATCTCCTGATGTCCCCAAAAAGGTGTTTAAAGGGCCAGCACCAGTCACATAAAGAGTCCATAAGCCCCAATATGCCCACCGACAGTCTTAAAGGGCCATACACACCAAATAAAAGTGCATACATTTTTCACAATCTCCCAGGGGCCATAGTCATGCGGGAGGAGGCTGGCAAATAGGCTTCTCCACAACCCAGGGAAGCGGGGCAATTTGCCATTTAAAGGGCCCGTTACAAATAGCAGTTTGTAACAAGGTGTCAATCCATATCTGCCAAGTGACCCTATGCAGGGGGAACAGTCCCTATTCTGCTCTGTGTCAGTGTGTATCAGGGATCCTTAGGACAGGTGTCAATTCATATCTGCCAAGTGACCCTATGTAGGGGGACCAGTCTCTATTCTGCTCTGTGTCCGTGTGCATCAGGGGCTCTGAGGACAGGTGTCAATCCATATGTCAGGGTGTCAATATGTCATATGTCAGGTGTCAATCCATATTCATTGTGATTTAGGAATGTTAGGTGATTTCTGCCCTTTATGGATTAAAACCAGACTCTGTATCAACTGTGTAATTTTCCATGGGAGTTTTGCCATGGATCCCCCTCCGGCATTCCACAGTCCAGGTGTTAGTCCCCTTGAAACAACTTTTCCATCACTATTGTGGCCAGAAAGAGTCCCTGTGTGTTTTAAATTCGCCTGCCCATTGAAGTCTATGGCGGTTCGCCCGGTTCGCCGGTTCGCGAACATTTGCGGAAGTTCGCGTTCGCCATTCGCGAACCGAAAATTTCGGGTTCGCGACATCACTACACACCATTCATTCGGGAGACGAACAAGGGGGTACGGAAAACTTAACACAAGGAATTGGTCTGCTACATGAACCAAGTAAAATAAAGCAAAGGGTAAAACTCCTGGAGCTTTATAGGTCTTTACGTCAGTTGTAACTACAACGTTGCACTTAGCAAACGGAATAGGCAGATACTCAGCTGTAGTGTATTATTGTTATTATTATTATTATTGTACAGCACCTACAAATAGGTTAAAATAGTCTCAAACAAGCTTGTAATCTAAAGGAAAAGAAGTACAATTATAAAGTTGTAAAATTAAGTATGGATGGCAAGTGTATAGACCACATAGTCTCTAAGTAGTATTGACTACAGTAGGCATGAATGAAGACAAAAGGGTTAGTGTCGCAATAAAATTGGTTAGTTGATCTGCCTTCCTAAAGTGCCTACCTAAAAGTGTATGGTTTTAAGACTTTCTTAAATGAATGCAAAGTTGGAAAAAGCCTAAATCATAGAGGAAGGGAATACCAAAAGAAAGGTGCAATTTTAGAGAAGTTTTGAATGAGGGAGTTGGTGGTAGATGCAAGTACATTCTAATCACTGTAAGTGCAGTTAAAGGGACACTCCAGGCACCCAGACCACTTCTGCCCATTGGAGTGGTCTGGGTGCCAACTCCCACTACCCTTAACCATGCAACTGTAAATTTAGCAGTTTTCATAAACATTGCAGGGTTAACTCCTCCTCTAGTGGCTGTCTACCAGACACATGGGTAACCCCCATTGTGATTAAGCGTGGTTGTGAGTAACAGGTACATGTACCGTCATACTCACCATTTGAGCTTGTAAGTGGCAGCCTGTTTGCATTTTTGCTTTACAATATTTTAACTATACTTCAATTGTATTGTTTTGAACCTTTGTGTTTGAATAAATTGTTTTTTTTTATCACTAGCTTATTAGCTACTATATTGTATTTGACTACATTCTAATCACTGTAAGTGCAGTTAATATTTCTTACAGATCTGCACTATTATTGCTATTTCTTTATTTTTTCTTACATGTACTATACAACCCTGATTTTGGGATTGCCATCTACTGGGAGTATAAGTATTATTGTCATTTGTTTTTTTATCTGTGCATGTGATATGGCGTTTTCCAACTAAACATCGCTCCACTTTTTGAAAATTGTAATTATGTTCTGAGATGTGGTGAAGGGTGTCCATCGAAGTGTGTAGCTGAATTATTATCATATTTCATCATTTGATTATTGTCTTTATAAGATAGACACTAGATTCCTTTTTTCCATTTAAGATCTAAGTGTTATTTAGCGCTCCGATATATTTAAATTTTTTACTGATACCTTCCATCAGTCTGCCGGGGAGAGACTCAGGTCTGCAGCTCCACCAGGTGTGAGCAGCAAACCATGCGATGGAAGGTTTGCAAGCTCCCAGAGA